CCCCGCGCCCCAATTCCTTTTTTTGTCACGCTGACTTGCCCCCATATAATTAAATTCTCAGAGAGCTGTCTCCGCTGCTTCCTGCCGGCGCTTCCTGCAGCTCCTGTGCCTTTATTTAATACAGAGCAATCCTCCGGTCTCTTCTCAGTATGTATGCTTGTAGTACTATCGTGTAGTGGAAATGTATGACGCCCCGCCCCTACGTGCGCGCATCCGTCTATCTTTATTGTGTGAGTGTATGTGTGTGTGTATGTGTGTGTGTATATATATATATGCGTGTGCGTGTGTACACATCTTTATATATATATATATATATATATATATATAAATAAATATATATATATATATAGATATATTATATATGTGTGTGTGTATGTGTGTGTGTGTGTGTGTGTGTGTGTGTGTGTGTGTGTGTGTGTGTGTGTGTGTGCGCGTGCGCGTGCCGGAGGGGGTGATGGAGATGAAAGCAGATGACAGCATGATTAGAGAACGGGAACGGAGGTGAAAGGAGAACATTATTTTAGAGAAGGACATTTTTTCGTCCCTGTCAGGTTTCGAACCTGGGAACTGAATGACAAGTGAACAGTAAACACCGTATCTCTAGATAACGAGAGCCCCTACTCTTACGGCTCAATTTAGGCTATCAGACAAAGTAAGGAGGAACAGAGAGACTAAAAAAAGCAAACAATATTAGGCTATTACGATTGTGAAACGGTGTCGAAACAGGGCCACTCTAACGGTAGTCTACTGAGCTTGCAGTATGAATGACCACCACTAAACGTCCACAACAACAACAATTTAAAATTGTATTTCAATAATTCAACTTACCCAAAAAGGCTCCCCGTTACAGAACTCGGTCATAGCGAGATTAAGAATTTCACCAAAAAAATATATACAAATGCTTGAGTGAACTAGGGGGATCTGGTTTCAAACTATAATTTTTCTTCGTATGAATATGTTGCCTGGACCTTTACTGTGATATAAATACCCGCTGAATTTCAACGTCTGAGCTAAGATCTTTGGTCTCCTCAGTCAAGTCCAGTCAAGCAGTGGCCCCCCTTCGCCGCGGGTATTGGTCTATTAGTGCGTGTTCATACGAAGCGACTTTGTCAGTGTTGAATGTTCCGATGTAGGCGTACGTGCCGTTGCACGATTTATTTGTTTGTTGTTTGTTTAGTATAGGGTTTTACGGCGCTCGCAACTGCATAAGGTCATATGAGCGCGCGGGACACACCTAATACTTTTTCGTTGGTAGGAAATTTTGAATTTTGCCCGGGTGGCGGCCGAAGCCTACTCTTATCGATTTTAGACCACTAAGGGATCTTTAACGTGCGCAACTTGCACACGGGCCCTCCGAGATTTTTCGCCCTTGTCCGAGAAGGCTAGGTGTAGATCTTTCCTACCAGAAGATCAGGGGTGTGGCAGAAAGACAGCAGTTAGGAGGAGCCAAGGAGTAGCAGTAGAAAGGCTGCAGAAAGAGTCAGGAGCCCAGAGGAGGGGGCAAAGGAGGTGAGGAGGTGGGGGCAGAAAAAGGAAATGAAAGCAGACAACAGATCATTGTTAGAGATCAGGAAAGGAGGGGAAAGGAGACAATTTTAGAGAAGAAAATTTTTTGGTCGCTACCCGGAATCGAACCCGGGACCTTTGAATGAGAGGCCAACACCTTAACCTCTAGGCCACGAGAGCCCCCTTGCACGATTTAAGAGCCAAATCTAACAGAGAATCTGTCTACAGTGGGATTTTTTTTTGTCATGAAAGAAACCTGTCAAAGACGACCCCCCCCCCCCCCCCAATATAGGAAAGAAGTGGTAGTCTCAAACACACGGTCCTCCAAAAAGCGTCCTTAGGCTATGAAGTGCCGTAAAGAAAACACACACACACACACACACACACACACACACAGGCACACACACACACACACCCATATGCACGCACACACTCAGACGAGGACAGACAGACAAACACACAAACTTATACACACAGGTAGACCCAACCAAAAACAGGAGGGATTCCGGAGAGTAAATAGGAGGGTACACAAAATATTTCTGATAGTCTTTTGGGGAGTGAAAGAGCTCAAATATGAAGGGTGTAGTTGGACGCTGCTTTTTGGCGACATCTTACTCCTGAAGTGAAGACCCAGATGTGTAGGGGGGGCGAGAAGGAGCGTCAGGTATCGCTAGGATGGGGAAAGTGCGATCTAAACAAAGGACCCCGTCCGCAGTGATGCCGCGAGTCGACAACGTTAAAGTGTGCCGGAAAAAAAGGCGCGAACTAGGAAAATAACTCTCTTCGTTGGAGCCAGGGGTTACTGATAGCTTCGTTGCCAAGCACCTCTAGCATT